ACCTATATCAAGTTCACCAGAGCCGATCTCAGGATACGCGGGTGTGAATATGTCTATTCTCAAGCTCGGGTGCTATACCAATGTCTCGTCTTCCACGACACGCCCTCTATCCATACTACGATTGCACTGGCAGACTGAACAGTATAAACAAGACCACAAAGTTGAGCCGAGTCGTGGAATGATGCACGGGCTAGCAATATCTTCCCGCTACCAATCTACGCTTTCCTACTACAATACACGAACACGGAAACGCAACCATCTGGTTGAATAGCGCCTCCATGATCCTTATACTCTGCGCCTACAGACGTGACGCCGTGCAAGGAGACAACAAGTCAGTGGCCCGTAAACAAGGTTAAAAGCACAGAGTCCAGCTCTAGACCACAGCATCGCATCTCACCTCCCACCATACTTCCTCACGGCCTACCGCCCCGAGTCGTCCAACGTGGTGATACTGATTACAAACAGCAGGTGGTAGCTGCGCAAGCCATGGTGGTCTGCTTCCAGAGCCTGGCACGTGTTGATACCCGTCGAGACCAGGCCAGTGACGCCGCATAGCATCGGTGCTCTCTATACTTAACCTATAGAGCGATGATATCATCGGTATATTCGCATTTTTTCATGCTGGCCTTACACTATTCGAGCCTGGTAGGCTGTCCATTACAACGATACACCGCGTTGGCAACATCTACGATGTGTTCAGCAATGGCAGAGGCATGTTCCTGGCATAACTGTCCTTGACTGTATTCGCCTTCTACAGATCTACCTCCAGGCATCCCTCTTCAAGCTGCCACCAACAAATCTCCTACATTGTAATCCTGTGACCAACAGCCCATGTATCCAACTCATATCCATCCATCCAAAAGCCGGGCCCTCTGACCTAGTCCATGTACCCATTGCCGGAATCCAGGGCGGGCATTCCGGTAAGATTCATGCAGGAAAGTTCATGAGACCTATGTTTGTACCGTGTATCAGGTAGACTATTTTGAATTGAAATGGCATTTGATCCATGGCCGGCGGTTTTATTGCCCCCCAAAAGTTGCCGCCACTTGCCGCATTCATCGTGTTCCAAAATACGTGGAGGGCCAACGCGTTGGGCATGTCTTCTAGGCAGCAGTTCAACAGTGACGCGGCATTACGCTTGCGCAAACCCTCATCCGCAAGCTTGAATTAAAGTACAGTGTTCAAGTGTTCCAATTTTGCCACGCCGAGCCCGAAAGTGTGTGTTGGCGTGGCGTGGGCGTCTCCAGTCAGCACCAAGCATGCCAAAAGAAGCATTCATTGTCAAACAATTGTTGCTTTGGCACTTCACGTAAAGTCGTAAACCATTAGGCTCTCTCGTCCGTCCCGAGCCTCCTTCAGCACCACCACCACCTCTTCGTCAAAACCGACCCAGTTCTTGGTATCATCCACGTCGGCCACAATCCTTGGGGTTGCGGAACCTTTCATCTTCGCATGCTGTTCCCCATCATCAATTGGCTGCCTTGGCCGTACCTCGACGCTGCTTCCGCTCACGCGCCCTTCTAGCTCCCAAACCCGAATCTCGTCGCCACGCGTGCTGATACTAACTGCTTTCCCGCGCGGCGTGATCTCCGCGTCGGAGATGCCTGAGGTGTGACCCCAAAGACGGATGCCTGGTGAAATAGAGAGCGATGAAGCAGTCGAGGTGCATAGGTGAAGGACTAATGTATTGTCCGGCAAAGTGGCGAGTAGGTAGGGGTGACTGTAGCATAGTCGGATTGGACCATCTTCCTCATGCTCCAACGGTATTGGAGAGCGGGTGCGTGAGTGGGAGGGTGAAGAGGACGGAGATGACGTTGCTGACCTGCGCGTTTGTGTTGGCAGTGTGTAGGCAACTCTCGAGGTAACAATATCTGGCGTCGCCAATCCAGATGGCCTAATGTCCAAATCTTGTATGCCAATGGACCATCCCCCCACGGTGTCAAAGGTGTATGCGATCGAGGCAATGACTGAAGTTGCCGTACGGCGTACTGATAGGGCGAGCGGTGGCCGTGTGGTGTGAGACTTGAGTGAGGTGAGAAGACGTGGTTGGGTGAATCGGGCGGCCGGGGGAGGAACCGTCTCTCCAGACTCAGTCACTGATGACCTGCGCACACCGCTCTCGGGTCCGATATCTGACTCTCGGGTTGGAGCTGTCCCGTCGTCCGGGTGCTCAAACGAAAACAAAGAAATAAACCCAAGCCTTGAAGCCGTAAACATGTACGGATGTCCATACGCAATGGCGACCAATTCGCCAAAGTAGCTCTTTGCATGCTGGTACAATATACCAATCTTTCCACTCTTGATATCCAACTTCCAAATGGCAAAGGTGCCGTCTTCGAACCCCACAGCCACATCTAGTCTACCGGTATTATGCAGCAAGTCATCAACTGCCAAGCAGCTGGGCTGGTTTGTCTCCTTATTGTTCCCAAGGTCTGCTTGTGCAATGAGTCGCCTAGTTTTGAGGTCCCATGCCCTTAAGCCCGACGTTCCATCCACAGTAACTGCCAGACCATCGACCACCTTGACCATCGTCTGCCACTCTGCCGCGGGGGTGTCTCGTTCGACACAACGGACCTGAACTTCGTCGACGGCGCAGGCCCCCCGAGCCCAGTTGTGTCGCAGCTTGTACTGCTTCTTCCAGTCCACGAGCTCCCCAGCACCAGTTGCCGCAGTTTCGTTGGGTGCACCGACAAAGCCGCCTCTTCGACCCCATCCCCCGTCAGCCCAAATGGTCTTGCTGGTTGAGTACCGTAGCTTGCTGGAGCTCCGGGTGGACCCTGTGCGGAAGCCGGGGATCATATGAGCTCGGGGCAAGATGAATCGGCGATAGTAGTGCGGTCGCCATAGCTGTGAATCAGATGTGATGCAGTTGAAGCGCCTGGACACGGGAGATACGCCAAGGAGTGTCTTTTCATCCAGGAAAGAGAAAATCCGGATGAGTAGCTCGTCGGATAGCGTCGATAAAATATCACGGGTATGCAGCGGGCCTATAGTCCGAAGGCGCTTGGTCAGGGGCCGCGACGACGGCTGGTTCGATTTCGCGTCAGGATTGGTGCGGATGCAGCTGTCGTCACGGTCTTCCGCCTCGGCATATTGGACGAGCTTGCGCTTGGTCGGCATGGTCATTGTCGTGGGAAAAGCAGCTCGACAGACGCCGCCAGCTCTCTATTTCGTAGGTAAACAGTGAAGGCTCATTCGTGGCAGAGGAAAAGCAGATGTGTCATTCGGATGAGGGAGACGGTGTGGCTAGGTTCGGCGGCAAAACTGCAGCAGCTGTCAGTCACGGGGAAAGAGAGTTGCATGCAGGGAAGAGAGACTAGTCCAAGAGGCTGCCGGTCAAGACAAGACAAGACAAGGCAAGGCGAGGCAAGGCAAGACACGACGAGACAAGAGGACTGGTTTTAAAGCGCTCATATCGAGTATCGACATACCTGGGACGCGGCACGACTGGGGATTTACCGAGTAACTAATAGAGCAAGCAGGTCGACATCAAATCAATGGTGGGGGGTTGGGGTTGCGGTTCACCAGGGAGTGGTGCTGCACGACGCGCCACTGGCTAGCGAGGGAAGGAACAGTTAGAGGAAGAAGGAGCTCCTCCGTGGTGACTGCCGAAACAGGGCAGGAGCCAGTGAGACGAAACGGAAGGAAGCAGCGCACGTCCTTCAAATGTTTGTAAAATGCTTCCGCCGCCAAGTGCCGAGTTCCTGGCTGGCTCTCTGCCTCTCATCCATCATCATCGCCTTTCCAGCTCTTCGAGCGTTCCCAGCTCTACCACTGCGTAGAGCAGAGTATATTATGAGAGGCGGCGCATGTCTCCGTATCACGCTCTCTGCCCCATTGATGCCCAAGATCCAAGACAGAGACATGTCTCGGCCACCCCACAGTCCACGCAAGTCTGAACTCCGACACTTTTCGACCCGTCTCCAAACTCAAACCCAAACCGTCCGCCCGTCAAAATTAGTTCTAGCTGATCGACGCTCGCCCACAGTAAGCTCGCAAATGACTATGCTAAACTGGGCCTCAATTTATGCGAATATGATACATTCCAGTTCAACTTCCTCGAGCACAGATCGAAGAAACAAGCAAGAAGCAAAAAAAAGCACAGACACGGACTACTAAAAGAAACAATAGGGCTGTTAAGCATCAAGCGCGTCATCTAATCACATCCATTGCTACCGAGTATACAAAGCACGGAGTACTACGGAGTGACTATGCTACCGGCGAACTCCAAAAAGCAAGGGGGGGAGACGAGCTGATTGTTTTGCTTTTTTGTGGTAGGCTGACCAATTACAGGTGCAGGACTAGGATTAGTTTGTCTTCTCGATGCTAGGACCCTTGTTCCGCGGCTGCTCTTGATGGTCGATACTCCATACTCCGTATTAAGACGACGAATTATCGAATGCCTTTTGGCCTTGAAGCTTTGCCGGGATGAATTGGAAACGGGGAGCAATTCATCGATACGAGATGCTCCGAGTTGCCGCACAAAACCCTGAACATGTTGCCTTATCAATCGCCGTTGTGAGAAGGCTGTACGGAGTATAGCCGTGTAAATAAGCATGTCACTTGATGCCTGTCCAACATACATGGCTGCCGTTATGATTAATTTCACATGTAATGACAATGACAGAGGCCATGCTATCCTTGTCATCAGCTCAATACCGTACCTGCACGGGTCATGGTTGATGTAGATGAAGAGCGCCCTCTTTTTAACGCCACATTCCAAGCCTAAGGAGATTTAGCCCTGAACATGGGACAACCGCGACTCGGAAGAAGCAAAAAAGCCGCGGATTTTCATGTCCAAGGCGCAATTGGAGCGAGATCAGATGCTGCACTGGCCGCCGTTTTAGTCCCACTCACTTTTATCCTCGCGGATTCCACCCCTTCGCCGGACTTTCCCCCCGTACTCAAGCAGCCATGATTATACTTCTGCTGACAGAGTACGGTAGTAGTACTCGGTATACTCTCGGGAATCATTCCAAAATCCAGGCCTTGTCATGCTGTCACATGCCCACGCTCCCAAACAGCTCATCATACATCTTTCCCACCCAGCCATCCGCCAATCCTCCCCTTGCCACAACTCCTAACCCCCCGATCGCCCACAACGCCGCCAGCCCAGCAGCAACTCCGTGAACACTCAACCACTTCCTCCTCCGTTGTGTCCTCGTCTTCCTGTCCACGGCCACGCTGCCCTTGCCTCTCCAGCCCTCTGTCGACGGCGCCATGCCGAACCACCGTGCCAACCCCCAAACCATGTGCCCGCTAGCCGTGGCCAAAAGCCCCAGGTACGCAAGTCTCGACGTAGTCGGGTGTCTGGCAAAGCCGTGCGCAACATATGCCAGCCCAATATTCGAACTGTCCCCCTCGACAGCGAGCGGTAGTATTCTGTTCACGAAGACGTGTGCCCCGTAGAATAATGTCAGTGCATATCCGGACATGGATATATACGTCAACGGCGGCCACAGGCGCACTGCGCTGCCGACACTCTTCCCCGACAGCGCTTCCCGCATCCTGTGCAGCGCGTACATGCCCGGCGTGCCGCCCCCGTAGCGCTCCATATTCTGCCATCGCCGCAGCAGACGCAGGGCCAGGCCGGAACCGACGTGCAGCACGACGGGGAGCGCCACGAGCACAGGCTCGGCCACGGACGTCTGGTAGATCTCGCGCGCCATGAGGAGGTACGTTTCGGAGCCGGCGACGGACCGCGTCACGGCGGGTATCAGGGACACGTTGGTGAGGTGGAGGGCCGTGAAGACGCCCATTGCGTAGGACGAGTATCTCTGGACCCGCGTCACTGCTTCTCATGTCAGTCGTGCGAGGGCAGACGGCGCGCGGGCGCGGGCAGCAGGAAACGGACAGTAGTATATTGCGCTGCGGCCGCTGCTCAGGCCCAGATGGCTTGTTGTGCCGGCCGCGGCTGCAGGACCGCTGCGTACTATTGAGCCATTGCTCCCTTGTGATGTGGTGTCTGGGCCGGCGGCGAGGCCCGTCTCCTTGTCGGCGGCAGAGAGTGATGGCGAGTCTATGGGCGACGGGTCGAGCTGGAGGAGGGAGATGAGCGTCGCTTGGGAGTCTTTGTGGTGCAGGCCTTGCCCGCCTGGGGTGTCCATGGCTCTCGCGGAAACACGTCGTCGCGCGGGTTGACGAGATTGTTCTTGGGAACACTGCATCAGGCGCCGACTCTGAATACAGAATAACTTACTTGCTCCGGCGTTGCGGCTCCAGTCGCGTGGTCACGCTAATTCCGGCGCCTGTCAGTGGCTGCGGCCCCTGGAGCGGAGCCACTTCAAACTGATGCCTGGTTCGAGTGCTCTCAGGCGCCACCTCACCCCAGTGCCACCCGAGTCAAACAGCTCCCAACGTCAAGTCTTCCATCTTGGAAACCCAAGCTCTGTCGACAAAAGCCGCGTCAAAGCAGTCCTTGCCGCCCACCATGCCTCCTGTATGTCAAGAGCCGTCGCTGCCGCAACTTTCTTCAGAGCTGACTGTCCGCAGCGCCACCAGACCCTGCCTCCGGCGCAAACCACGTCGGCGCGCGAGGCCCAGAAGTCCTTCTACTGCAACCTCTGCTCCAAGGGCTACTCCCGCATGAACGACTACGAGGCCCATCTCTCGAGCTACGACCACTCCCACAAGCAGCGCCTCAAGGACATGAAGGCCATGGTGCGGGACCCCAACGCCGGCGCCCGCGCGAGGAAGGCCGAGGCCAAGGCCGATGGCCTGGTGAGCATAAAGCTGCCCGGCCAGGAGGGCAGCTCGAGCAGTGCCGGCACGGGAGGCTTCAAAAAGGGCGGGTTTAAAAAGACGGGGTTCAAGAGTGCCTTTGCCCCGGCGGACGGCGTCCAGAAGACGGCGCAGAGCGCGCCGAGCCCGCCCGTCAAGCCCGTCTTGAAAGACGGCCTGGTCGAGAGCGACACTGAAGATGAAGGGTACGAGGTGTATGACCCACGGTATCCGACCGACTGATTTACTCCTTCGCTCTCTCTCTCTTCTTTTACGCCACGAGCATGACACGACGACAACGGCAAAATTGGGTTTTCTAGCGTGCAACATTCGTGTTATTTTTTGAGTAGGGGATTCATTATATGCAAGGGGCAATCAGCCCGTGGGCCAACTTCGCCTAGTACACCACCGTCATAACTTGTGCCGAGGTAAACTCGACCTGGTATAGGTTCACATGCCATAACTCATAACTACTTGATGTTCCCGACCTCATCCCCAAAACATGGAAGGTAAAAAAAAAAAAAAAAAACGCCAGGAAAAATCATTACATGGG